CTCTATCTTTAGTTTGTTGAGAGAAATAGTTATTGTATAGCGTGCGTCCTGTGAATGTATCCCCGTGTAGTTGTTCACTTGTTTACAAGAAGCTTCAGCCAATATTTTGCATCAGATATTCGTTAACTTGAGATCACACATGTGACTAGAGACATGCTTCCCCTTATATAGTGTTCCTGGAGCAGATGCTCAATTCGTGCTGATAGGAGTGGTGGGACTTTCTTAGCTTGGAAGCGGCACAGCAAAGTGGTTGGCATTCTGTCTACAGACATGCCCTGTGATGGATAAACTCTCTTAAAAACACATTCAACTTGAGCAAGGTACAGTGCATGTACCTTTAATTCCAGCACTTGGGAGGCAGAGGCAGTGTGGATTTCTGTGGAGTTCGAGGCCAGTCTAGTCTACCTAGTTAGTTCCAGGGATACACATGGAGTCTATTAAAATAAAAGAAAGAAATATGAATCTGTGGTCAGTGTTTATGACAGATGCATGGAAATGTACACAGAATTTTAGATGTGGGCTTTCTTTCATATATTGGGCTATGCCCAATTCTTGCATGGAAACAACAGGGTTGAGCTACATGTTGTTTGATAGGATCTGCTTTTGTCGTTTGTTACTTGGCCCACCCAAGTTCTAGGACCTTGGGAGTATCTGAATTTTAAGCCTCTGGAATAACTGCTGAAGGTGGCTTAGTTATGAGACCCCTGAAAGATCTTGTTTCCAAGGTGTCATCTCCTGTAATGTATTTGTTCATTGGGGCAAAGGAGTCTGTGGAAATGTTTTCCTGTGATGTGCTTTTAAAGGTAGATAGCATGATTTAGAATTCTTTCACAAGGGACTTTAATGTTTTTCAGGAGGCAAATTGATTAACTTCATGGTGTTTCAGGATCACAGCCTTTTCAAGGGGAGTAGGATGGGGGTGGAGACATCATATTTGGATGTAATATTCTTCCAGAATTTACTAATAAATGCAGACTAGTGAATCACCCAGGCTTTGTTCCATTGACTTAGGAGCTCTCAGTGGACCCAGCCGCCAATGCCTTTTAAGTTCTCCAGGGCCTTCTGCCTCAGTCTTCTGCAAGCATGCAATGGAATACAATAATTAAATATAATGGAGTTTAGGTTTAAACTTATTTATTTTTTATTTCTGTAAAATTTTCATATTGTTGACCTTTTCAGCCCAAGATTTATTTAATAAATCCTGAGCCACAAAACTTGTTATGCCTCATAATTGAGGTTTACACCAATTATCAGGCTCAGTCAGAGAGTTCTGGATTCCTCCTGCCTCCCACACTTGGCTGTGTCCGTGTTTGCAGCAGGCCTTTCCTGGTACCTGGCTTATGTTCTGGTAAAATGCAGCGTGCTTGTTATGTGTCAGCCTTGTTTGGGACCTGTGCTCTAAGAAGCACTCTGAGGGATGTTGAATGGGACCCCTCTGGCATCGCTTCTGTTGCCTTGGGAAATGATGGGATGTAGCAAATGACCCACAGATATTAGCTGCTGCTGTTAGGGCTTGTCCAGTAGTCTGCTTAGCTTGAGAAGGTTCAGAAGGCTATACATGTCAGTTTCTAGATGAAAATCTAAACTATAAAGATGGGTAGTGGCTATTCAGTATGCTTTGTCAATGAGTTGGCCAGAGGCTTTTTACTTTAGTATTCCTTCAGAGACGCCTTCCTTTATGTGTTTAAGGCTGGCTGATTTGACCAGTGCTTACATTTGCTTTGCTACTGGGCAGTATTTTTGTGATCTCTGAGCATTCACATGAAGGAATAGAGAATCTATAGGAATGGGGTTAGCTCACTGAAAGCAAGATGTATGCTCATGACTTTGCAAATGTTCTCTTTGAAGAGCCAGGTCTACCCGGGAGGAGATGGGCCAGAGTGACGAGGAGGCTGATGTTCTGCCCGAGGCATGAGGCTCTTCCCTGGGCTTAAGGCAGAATCTCAGAAATTGTTGGTGGGCTGGTTTTGTAGAACCATGCTGTGACTAAATTTGTCTCTCCCTGAATGATAAAGTTTTCTTTTTATTTACTTTTCCTGTTGCTGTGACAAAATACCCAACAGAAGCAACTTAAGGAAGGAAGGGTCTGGCTCAAGGCCTGAAGGCGCAGTCCATCATGGCAGGGAAATCCTGGTGGCAAGAGTGTGAAAGGTTGTTCAGAAAGCAGACAGACAAATGTTGTTGGCCGGCTTTCTTTCCTTTTTTGAATTAACTCTGGGCCCCCAGCCCATGGCCTGGTGCCACTCCCGTGCAAGGTGAAGCTTCCTGCCAGATATATTTGGAGGTTCCTCTCCTAGAGGATCCTTGATCCTGTCAATATGAACCATCATATTCATGAAAGATCTTGAGAGATGTGTAGGCAAGTCCCCACTGAATGGTGGTGCTCAGTCTAGGGTACTTGGATTGCACAATAGGTCGGGTGTGTTTTATTGAAAGTTTGGGTTTTTCCATATTTGAAAGGAAAAACATGAGAGGTTTTTTTTCTTGCCAGTCCAATCACAGAAAGCATTAGCTAAATAACTGACAAAATGTGTTATTATCACCAGTGCTTTTCACTGCTGTGCTAGGACGCCTTCCCTGTGTACATTATCTTGGTGCTTCAATGGGATCAGGGTGACTATAGGAGGGAGCCTGGCTGAGGTGAGGGGACATTAAACAGGGCTGCTGTTGACAAGCTTCTTACGTGCTGTCACCCGTTTTGATTGGTTTTGACTCACTGGTCAAGCATTCCATTCCCCATGGTCTGACCTGGGGGACAGTAGCCAAATGTCACTGTAGTCGGACCTGTGGGCTAGTGACCAGGCTTTATTGTCTGGAAACCATTTTTCAGCTATAGAGCTTAGGAGACCTAAACTCTGAAAATTAAGTTCAAAAACATCTGAGCAGGATAAATGCTTCAAAAGCTCCTCAAATAAATCAGCTGTAAGCTTGCAACAAATAAACGTTTGCTTCCCCTGGCAGCTTTCCATGAGAAATATTTTGAAATAGTTAAAGTTTCCAGGGCCAGGGAGGAGGCTCCCATGGAGAAGTGCTAGCCTCAGAAGCTGGATGACCCGAGTTCATGCTTGGAACCCGTGTAAGGAGCTGGATGTGGTGGCATGTGTGTCTGTCATCTCAAGCGATCCAGTAGTGAGACGGGAAGTGGAGTCGGGAGAAATGGTCGGGAGATGGTGGGCCAGCTAGCCTGGAGCACACAGCACATCAGCAGAAGCACTAGGAGAGACCCAGCATTAATACGGTGCAAGGCGAGAAAAGACTGCAGCCTTCCACCTATGCTGTGATGCACCCCGACCCCATGTACAGATAAAGGAGCAGTTAACATGTCTGGACAGATCTGTCGTAATGTTTGAAAGCTTGTGAAATTTAGGAAGTAGTAAGTTTTTTTTTTTTTTCAGAATTTCAACTTTTGTGATTTTTTACTTTAAAAAAATATGTTTCTAGACACAGCAACAAGAAAATCTTCCTCAGAATTCTATTCTTCAGCTTGAGTTCCAACTCAAAGTGGATTGTGTAGCCTATATAATTTAGGATGTGTGTGTGTGTGTGTGTGTGTGTGTGTGTGTGTGTGTGTGTGTGTGAGGAGAGAGAGAGAGCAAGAAAACATAGAAATTCAAAACTGTCTCCTGAGGGCTGGGATTAAAGGCACGAACCACCACCACCCGGTTAGTGTTAAAGTCTTTAGAATCACTTCCGTATATACACCTGATGGAGTTGAATTAAACACAACTACTTTTTTGTCTCCTTGCTTCATCCTAAAACCAGGCATTGTAAATAACAGATTGAGTCAGCCACTAACTTTCAGAAGTTTAGTTAACAAGGACATTACTGTTTTCAGAAAGTGTGATTTTTGTAGTTATTCATGTCTGAGAGGGCAGTGAATGTCTCTTGGCCTCTAGCTGGGATATGTGAAGCTACCAGGTTTCATAAATAAGCAAAATGATGAACCTTGGTTCTTAGATTTTGCTCTTTTCCTTGTAGAAAAATAACATAGTAGAGGATTTTTTGTGGGCTGTGTTCAGTGTACAGGTATAAAAATCCACTAATGTTATTTTGTATGAATTTACAGACAGTATTCAAAGGTATTTGTGTGCCTATATTTACTGAACTGTAGAAACGGTTCCCGGAAGTATAGTCTTATGTGCCTGTGTTTCAATTGCCATTTGTCATTTTATCATAACAATCTTGTACTTGTTATGTGTAGATTTAATTGAGCCAGATCCATGCTCTGTAGATTTGAACTTGAATTGTAGATTTGAATAATTTGATTTAACTTAGCAGATATAATGTTTACTTTTCATGTTTAGCATGTATTCAGCAAACCATTTGGCTTTATTTTGGATTTATTTCAGGACTTGAGCATGTTACATATTGCCTGGCATTCAGCAATTGCTTAATGATGGAGCTCATGCATTTAATTGTTGATTTATGATGTTCATCAATATCCTTTTGATGGTTCCTCTTTTTTTCCCATTAATCACCTACTTTAAGCTAGTTAAAAGGGAGCTACTCTAGTATTATATACTAGAAATAAAATTTTAATTTTGGTCTCTAAAAATGGAAGTTTTGGGGAAGACAATAGGATGGTTGACATATCTCAAACTGTAAATTCTGAAAGGTACACCAATATCTCTTGGACTCAGAGAGTCGTGCTGAGAATAAAGAGTGGTTAAGTCATATGTGCAAAGTCAAGAATAAATTATTAGAAATGGTTCCCGTGAATGGAACATCAACAATTTAGTTATTGCCAACTTCACTGGTCTCCTTTCTCAGAGACGTCCGTGTTTGTTAAATTGTCAATTCTTACATTTAGGTGGATTGCAGAAAAGGGAATTAGTGTTCCCCCCCCCCCAGGAAAGTGAGCTAGTAGGGCCCTTTCAGCTCCAGATACTCGAGTCCAGATACTATGGAAGCCAGACTTCTCTCAAGCTCAACTTGAGAGAAGATGCTAACCTGTGCCTGTTTGTCCTGTGTTAACACTCTTCTTTGTTTTTTCCTTCTAGTCATACAGTTTATCAAGAAAGAAAATAGTGCACTATACCTGCTTCGACCAGCGGAAAAGAGCAAATGCTGCATTCTTGATAGGTGCTTATGCTGTGAGTACTTCACTTGCGATTATTTCTTGTGATCAAGTCGGTGTTGTTAAATAGAAAGCCCCGTTGCAGTGGGACGGGACGGGTGCATTATTAGCAGGTCTGGAACTGATCAGGAATGGAAAGTGGACTGCTATCAATGGAGTACTACTCATCACTATTATTGTTATTAATTTTTATTTTTTTTTATTGCTCTGGGTCAGAGTCCTCTCTGTGGCTGGCTTGGGACTTACTAGGTAGCCCAGGCTGGTCTTAAATTTGACTTAGTCTTTTTGCCTCAGCCTCTGTAGTGTTAGGATTTCATGCATGAGCCATCTCATCTAGATATAGGTTTATTTTTGGATACTTAGGGAGAGACTCATAGAATTATGACATGTAGCTCAAATTCTACTGTTATCAGCATTTTACTGCAAAGAACATCAATACCTAGCGAGGATGTACCCAAGGGGACAGACGAGGTATGAATATGAGTGAGATATAATATTGTGGAAAATTTCAAGTGCTCTTTTTGTGGGGGGTGGGGGAGATAGAGCCCATTCTAGACAACAAAGGAGAGGATTATTATTGTTAATTCTTTTTTTTTTTTTTTTTTTTATCAATCCATGCATTCATCTATACAAGTGACCTTTACGAAAGTTAGGTTTGAGTAGGAGTTTTGTTCTCTGAAAGTACAGAAGTGTCAGTATGAGTTCTGTATGAGCATGTCACAGTTTCTGGAAACTTCTGGATATGCTGGCACTGCTCCAAAAGAAGACAGATGTCATCAGGGCTATAATGTACCTATGATCTGGACTAGCTCCTCCGGGTTGTGTGATGCCCACTGAGGAATCTGCTGGTTCACAGGCAAGGGAGGATGCTGACATTTCTCCTCACTCCTAGGAAGGGCCAAGCTCGCTGCTTTGTGACTTTTCCAGCCCTCATTTGCACACCTTGATGGAAGACACCATACTCTATCATACCAAGCCCAAATTTCAGGGGGGGGGAGGGGCCTAGTGGCACAGCGGGGGGGGGGGGGCATCAGCAGTTGCGGGAAGGAAGAGGACTAGCTAATAGTCCACTGTAAGCCCAGCTCTTGCTCTGGGACTTAAATCCCTAGTTCTTTTCACTTCTTTTATAAACCCCAGGGTCGTCCCTGGTGGCCTCCCTTTTTCTTGTTCTGTAGACAGCATGGGAGAATATAAAAAAGGAGTAGTAGTAAGAACCAATAAAACACGTTTTCATCCTGAAGGGGCTCTGTGCTGAAGGGGTCAGGCTACCTTCTCTCTCAGCTTTCTTTGTTTTCCTTGTCTGTAAATGGGTTGGTTGGATACTGTGACTCCTAAATTTCCCTTCCAGGCCTCAGGATTCTAGAGTTATTTGTGGTGTCAGTCAGGCTATTGTTCATATCTTAAGAGCATACCTAAGAAGCCAGCTATTAGTGGGAAGGGTTGGTAAAGTGCTAGGGGTTGAATTAAGCAGGCATGCTATCTTTTTTTACCTTACACTGATAATTGATACTCCCTTGACTGACAGTATGATTAAATATGGAAAGGCTGTTCTGACCTCTTGACTCAAGCCATGAACCAAGAATGTCTTTCCTGTGGGGCTTTGTGATGTTTAGTGAATATGTTATTCTTAGGTCCTGTGTCATAAAATGTAGTGACCGGCCTATTTGTTTAACCTGATCCTTATTTAACCGCAATAATAAAAGATCTCTGTCAGGCTATGCATTTGCATATCCCTCCCTCCCACTTCTCCTCTTCCCCTCCTTTCCTTCCTCTTACCTTCCCACCCGGCCTTCCAGTTTTGTGTAGAGTGGCTGTCCATTTCACCACTTAGGTCTAGACTTTTGAAATGAAGTCTGGCTATGGCACATTCCTTGGACTCATGAGAATGTAGCCTGAGAAAAGAACAAATGTGGGAGTTTCTGTCACTTTAAAGCAACCCTAGGAGAAAGAGCAGGCCTGGCCTGCTGGGAGAAATGCTGAGGTCAGTGCGAGCTTGTCTTACACCTAGTCACAGTCCCCAGTAGAGAGGGATTTTCCTTGTTTATCGGCCATTTCCCAGCTGGTTTGTAAATGTGCTCCTTTGGGAGGGGGGTCCTGTTATGTAAAAATGACATTCAGAATTGTGGTCATTTCTTAAAGAGAGATTTCTGCCTTTGCTTCATGGATCTCTATGCACTTAATTGTTGACACAATTCTCATAAGATAGTAATAGGAGTTACATATATCAGGTAAGTTTATTAACATTGCTAGGAGGGCAAGTCTCACTCTTAGGAGGGAATTTTCTGTGAGTATGAACAGCCTCTAACTTGGGAGCAGCCAGGTAACCCATGAGACAAAACAGGTATATGTGTTTTATCAGAGAGATGTCCTAAGAGTGAAGTAATTCTCTTTCTCAACGTGCCATCAGCCATTGTTCAAGTGGTGTTGGCTTCTCTTTCTCATTAATAAGATTTGGTTAATATCAGGGCTCCCCTGCCTATTGTGCAGAATTACTATGTAATTACTGAACTGTCTGTTCAGTAATACCACACCATATATCTAAACTATCACAAATTTATTGTGAAGAACCATACCCTTCCCCTATCCATCTCAAACTGATTAATTTCCCTAGTGACCACCCCCTTCAGGAAAGTTACTTACTATTGACGAGTCAAATCAAAAGTTAGCAGCCACTGCTCTTCCTCAGTCCCCTCATCCCACATACACATACCCAGAAGGGTGACCAACTCTAACTCTTTTTTTAAAAATTGTTTTTCTTATTTTACATATCTATCCCAGTTCCTTCTTCCTCACTCCCTTCTTCTCTCCCTCCCATGCCCCCCACCACCCTCCCATCCCATTCACCCCACCCCCAACTCCACATGTAGGGTGATGCCTTCCAGGAGGAGTTATCTAAATATGTCAAGTCATTTGGAGTAGGGACTAGGACTTCTCTCCTGTCTCTAGGTTAAGGGAGTATCCCTCCATGGGGGATGTGCTCCCAAAGTCCTTTTGTGCACCAGGGATACATCCTGGTTCCACTGTCAGAGGTCCCTTAGACTGCCTAGGCCTTCTAACTGAGACCCATGTTCAGGGGGTCTGCGTCGGTCCAATGCTGGTTTCCCAGCTATCAGTCTGGGGGTCAATTAGCTCCTCCTTGTTCAGGTCAGCTGTCTCTATGTGTTTCTGTAGCCTGGTCTTGTCCTCCTTCTCTGCATCTGGATTCCAGTTTGGCTCAGTGTTTAGCTGTGGGTGTCTGCTTCTGTTTCCATTAGCTACTAGATGAGGGCTCCATAATATGGTGGATAAGTTAGTCATCAATCTCATTATCAGGGAAGGACATTTAAGGTAGCCTTTCCACTGTTGCTCAGATTGTTAGTTGGGGTCAGTCTTGTACGTTTCTGGACATTTCTCTAGGTTCAGTTTTCTCTTCAAACTATAATGGCTCCCTCTTTTATGGTCTCTCCCTCCCTCCCTCCCTCCCTCCCTCCCTCTCTCCCTCCCTCCCTCCCTCTCTCTCTCTCTCTCTCTCTCTCTCTCTCTCATCTATTCCTCCCCTGACTCAATCTTCCTAGTCCCACATGCTTTCCTCCCCTTCTCTTTTTCCCAGCTCTCTCTCCACTCACTGCCCTCCCCCTTCTGTGAGGGACCTTGTATGAATCTCTTAGGTTTCTCTTTGTATCCTAGTTTCTCTGGCGGTGTGAATTATAGGCTGGTGATCATTTGCTCTAAGTCTAAAATCCATATTTGAGTGATTACATACCATGTTCCTCTTTTTGTGACTGGGTTACCTCATTCAGGATGGTTTCTTCAAGTTCCATCCATTTGCCTGCGAATTTCAAGATTCCATTGTTTTTTTCCCTGCATAGTAGTATTCCATTGTGCCACATCTTCTTTATCCATTCTTCAGTTGAGGGGCATCTAGGTTGCTTCCAGGTTCTTGCTATTACAAATAATGCTGCTACGAACATAGTTGAGCACCTGTCTTTGTTGCATGGATGTGGATCATTTGGGTACATGCCTAAGAGTGGGATTGCTGGGTCCTGTGATAGACTGATTCCCATTTTTCTGAGGAACAGCCATACTAATCTCCAAAATAGCTGTACAAGTTTGCACTCCCACCAGCAGTGGAGGAGTGTTCCCCTTTCTCCATATCCTCTACAGCATAAGTTGTCATTGGTGTTCCTAATTTTAGCCATTCTGGCAGGAGTAAGATGGTATCTCAGAGTTGTTTTGATTTGCATTTCCCTGACAGCTAAGGATGCTGAGCACTTTCTTAAGTGTCTTTCAGCCTTTTTGATTTCCTCTATGGAGAGTTCTCTACCCCATTTTAAAAAAATAGGATTATTTGGTGTTTTATTGACTAGTTTCTTGAGTTCTTTGTATATTTTGGAGATCAGCCCTCTGTTAGATGAAGGTTTGGTGAAGATCTTTTCCCAGTCTGTGGGCTGCTGTTAGGTCTTGTCAACTGTGTCCTTTGCCTTACAGATGCTTCTCAGTTTCAGGAGGTCCCATTTATTAATTGTCGATCTCAGTGTCTGTGCTACTGGAGTTATGTTCAGGAATCAGTCTCCTGTACCAATTTGTTCAAGGGTACCTCCTACTTTCTCTCTAAGAGATTCAGTGTGGTTGGAGTTATGTTGAGTTTTGTGTATGGCAATAGACATGGGTCTATCTGCAGTCTTCTACACACCATCATCTAGTTGTGCCAGCACCATTTGTTGATGATGCTATCCTCCTTCCATTGAATACTTTTGTCAAAAGTCAGGTGTTTGTAGGTGTGTGGGCTAATATCAGGAAGTTCGATTCCATTCCATTGGCCTACTTGTCTGTCTATTTTTGTGCCAATACCAGGCTGTTGTCAGGACTATAGCTCTACAGTAGAGCTTGAAGTCGGGGATGGTGATGCCTCCTGAAGTTCCTTTATTGTACTGGATTGTTTTGGTTATCCTGGGTCTTTTGTTTTTCCATATAAAATTGAGTATTATCCTTTCAAGGTCAGTGAAGAATTATGCTGGGATTTTAATGGGGATTGCA